GTGCGCAAAATTCGACGAGTCAGACAGCCAATGGGAGGTGGGCGTAACGGATTCGATTACTGGACTCGGAATGGTCGATATTCATGCGAGTGATTCATTGTTTGTTTAACTGAAGTAAAGGAGGAACCTCATCGACTCAGAAGCGTCGTTAGTTATGGACTTGAACATGCAACTTATATCGAAGAGTTTGGCTTGCCAAACATGCTGTAATTTTCTTGGACTTGACTTTGCTGTATAAATGATAGTCCATGAAAGACTGCGTTCTGCAACATGGTGTCAGAGAAGACAAAGGCAAACCACACCGGCGACGCCACGATGCTGTTTGGATCACCAGCGTCTATTCAGATGCCTGCCCCATTGAACATGGATGAACGGAACTTGGCGAGTAATTGGCGTCTATGGAAGAGCAAGTGGATGGATTTCTGCACCTTAGTACGTTTGGACGAACAACCGATGGCGTATCGCTTGGCCATGTTTCGACACGCAGCTGGGGATGACACGCGTCGGATGATAGAGAGATTGTAATATAACAAGTGCGAAGATCCCAATAATTTGGAAACGGTCATTGCAAAGTTCGGTAACTTTTGAGAAGGCAGAACCAACGAGGCGCACAAGCGCTATCCTTTGTTTTCGCGCAGCAGTGGCCCAGAAGAATCCGTCGACGCGTACCTCACGGAGTTGAGGATTTGGGCCCGATCCTGCAATTTCTGTAAATGTATGGGCGACAGTGTCATACGCGATCATCCTAGGAATCAATGATGAAAATACGACAAAGCGGCTCTTGTGACAACGCAACTTATCACCCCAGCAGTGTATCGATATCTGCAACAGTGAGTCCTCGACCACCTATCAATACCAGCAAATGAAACTCGCAAGTAATGCAAAATTGTGTTCCGCTTCCAGATGCGACGCAGCGGAGGTTACTAACGTGAAACAGAATATCTGCAAACTTTGCGCCGCGCGACACCCGAGCTCCCGCGAACAGTGTCCGGCATGGGGTCGGATAGCACTAAATGTGGAAAAAGAAAGAACTTTGCTCGTTGCTGCTGATCAAACAATGTGAGTGCAGTCGTTCGTGACAAGTCACCCGCAGATGCAGAACATTCAGTTGGCAACGTGTCTCGGAGGGTGCCGCAAAAATTTCTCTACGTACGTCTGCTGATCGGAGGCAAAGCCATACAATTACGGTTAGACACGGGAGCTACCGTCAGCATTTTACCAAGGAAACACTGTCCTGGAGTGTGTATTCGACCCGACCAAGATTACCTACGTATGTGAAATAGTTCCAGACTTCATCCGAAGGGGTCAGCTACAATGGAAGTGATTAACACAAGGGACGGAGCCTCACATCGACTGGTGTTTGTGAGCGTGCGGGAGGAGCGCCCGCCGATTCTCGATATTGATTCAATCCAGTCTCTCGGTTTTGTTGTTTTTAAACACGATCATTTTGTGCATGCTTGCCAGGGAGAAACTGACAATACTGACCAGTATCCGTCTGTGTTTAGCCTAGGTTTGGGAAAGTTTGGGGGAACCGCTCAATTGTCCTTAAATTCTTTGATATGACCGACTGCCTGACACGTTCGCCGCTGAATTGAGCAAATTAGTGAGAGGGTGTGATTGCCAAAATCAAAGAGCAAACCGATTGGGTTAGTCAGGTTGCAATAATTACAAAGAAGATAGGCGAATTGCGCGCGTATATTGACCCGGAACCGTTGAATGAGGCCTTGCGTAAAAAACAGTATACACTACCTACCATAGGACCTATTTTGCTGTGTTTTGCCAAATCTAAGTCCTTCACGAAGGTAGACCTGTCTTCGACATTCTCGCACGTGGTTCTAGATGAAGAATCCAGTTTCCTTACTACTTTTGCCACACCGTTAGGGTGTTTACCTTGGTTGCGTTAACCACTGGATTTGAAGGTGTCGAGTGAAATTTTTCAAAAGCGATTGGTGCAAGCGGTAGACGATTTAGATGGTGTAACAGGCGTGGTAGACGATGTTCTAATCTATGGCTCTACAGAAGAAGAGCATGACGCTAATCTCCACCGTTTCCCACAGCGTTGAGTGCGAAAGAACATCAAGCATAAAAGTGATAAAATTGAATTTCGGAAGGACAAGTTGACTTTCTATGGGCATTTGCTAACAACCCAAGGAGTCAGAATCGATCCGGGAAAAATTGAGGCAATTCGAGAGATACACCGCCTAACGACGTGAAGGGAATCCATCGCTTAAACGGTATGGTGAATTACTTGAGCCGTTTTATGCCAAGACTCGCTGATGTTACGACACCGAGCAGGCAGTTAACTCCAAACCCTAGTTGCTGTCACCCACCTGACTGGTCGCATAGTAAACGTGCTCTCTCTCTCAGAGTTTTACGTCTACCTCTTCACCTAGCGCAACCATCATACACTCATTCGAATCGGAATAAAGCCCCGTGTTTAGTGGGCATCTATCTACCGAATTATTTCTCGCAAAAAGTGATTTGTGCTGCCCCAGTTATTTTAGTGCGCTCCGTGCTTCTATCCAGACGCGCCACTCTGTCGTTTTAAACAATTTTCACTGCTGCGATACTGAGATCGATCAAGGATTCACCGCGCTATCTAGTGGTCCTAGAATTACATCCATAGAATCATTTCTAACGAAGCTACGACTCAATGTGTGGTTTCAATTGCATTCTCCCAACGCCGGCATTTTCCGCTGCCAGCCACCCACTACAAGCCACTTCCAATGTCGCTGTTCTACAGGAACCAGTATGGATCAATAAGCTAGCCAAACTCCGTGTACATGTGTTCTCGTCGTGCGCACTTGCTTACGGCAACCGACGTCGAGAGTACGACTGGGAAAAAGAACGCAAACGTCCCTCGCCTCTACCTCAGGTGATCAGACAAGACAGCGTTCGTTTGCAACAACGGTCCTCAATGGAGCTGATTCCACATAACCGCAAAGGTGGTAAGTAGAAGTGTATACGATCAGGCTATGAAACCTAACGTGGCGGAAGAGCAGTGTGGATTCCGCTCGGGTCGCAGCACTAGAGATATAGTCTTTGCGGCGCCTCAGTTGCAAAAAAAGTGCAGAGTACGACACCAGCCCTTGTACTCGCTTTTTCTTGATTTCACCAAGACATTTGATACGCTGAACCGTGAGGCACACTGGCTGGTATTGGGTAAGTTTGGTTGCCCGCGTTTGTTTGATTGAATGTCTGCACATAGGTATGCGTGCGAGGGTGCAGCTGAGTGGAGAGACCTCGGATGACTTTGCAGTTATCATTGATGTGAAACAAGAGTGTGTGTTAGCTACTGCTCTGTTAAAAATTTATCTTCATGCAACGATGTCTTGTGTTTTGATGCAGCTTGCGCTTACGGCGTTCGTGCGGACTACCGTATTGATGGTGGGTTGCTGAAGCTCCATCGTTCCGGTGCGAGAACTCTAGTCTGTGAGACAACTATCCGTATGTTGCTGTTTGCTGACGACTGTGCTTTGTATAGACACAGCGCAAATGATTTGCAGCACATGAATAGTGCTCTGGCCTCTACAGCGGCCAAATTCGGACTCACCAACAACACAAACAAAACTGTCTGTCTCTTTTAACATTCACTGGAGGTGTAATCAACAATATTGCCGCGAATCAACATTGGCGCTGGAAACCACCTCCCGCTTCTGCTACCTTGGGAGTGTGATATCGACTGACCAGTAGCTAAACAGTGAGCTGCGTATCTGCGTCTCGAAGGCAGCGGCGACATTCGGGAACCTCGAGTACCGGGTGTGCAACAACCATCAGCTTACCATTGGCACGAAGCTGATGGTGTACAAATCCATGATGCTGTCCGTTCTTCTATACAGCATTGAAACGTGGACGATGTACCGGCGGGACGTGCGATATCTCGAACGGTTCCATCAACAGTGTTTGAGACGGATTCTGCGCATTGGACGGAGCGACAGTGTTGCGGAATCGGAAGTGTTGAGTCGAAGTGGAATATAAGCAGTGGAATGCATACTGTTGCTGATGCACTTGAGGTATCACGGTCATGTGAGCCGTATGGATTCGACCCGGATACCGAAACAACTATCATATGGTCAGCTGAGTATTGGGAAGCGGCATGTGGGGAAACCAAAGTTACGTTAA